TCAGAGAACCGGTAGTGGAAATTTTGAGTAGTTCAGAGAACCGGTAGCAGAAATTTTGAGTAGTTCAGAGAATCGGTAGCAGAAATTTTGAGTAGTTAGGAATACCATCTCTGAATGGCCTTGCCCCCATCTATTCTTTGCTTTCCAAGTCCCAGCTGCTCAGCTGGGTCTTCTTTTGTTTCCCTGCACAGGAAAATGGAACTGGAAAGCAGGTTAGTGGAGTGGGGAAGGAATGGGATTTTGCAGTAACCTTCTCCCGGGAGTGGAGTGGGAATGAAGATTTTACAGTATCCTTCTCCTGCCACACCCATCAAGCCATGCCACGCCCACCAAGCCATGCCCACAGAAGCGGTAGTAAAATTTTTTGAATCTCACCACTGATTATAACAGCAATGATAAGGAAGGTAATAATGATGGGCAGCATTCAGATGTAATGGCGATGATGGAATAATGGGATTCCCCCAACTAACCTCTAGTAGAACATGGGTGCAGTGGCATTCATACTAATGGCCCACAGTTTAGAGCTATTATCTAATAGTTTTGTAATAGATGTGAATGCACAACCCAGCCATACAATAGATGTATTCACACTCCCTAACCATATCCCATTTTTAATTCTAAAGAGACTATCTATATATAGCACAGGTTTCCTTCCAGGAAATGGGAACCCTGATTAATTAGGATTTCCCTTCATACAAAGAAAGAAAGGATATATGGGTTATTCCTTAAGATGCCCAAAGTCCAATGACTATAGCTCTAAAATCAGATGAATGTACTTGCACCCATGGCTAAATATACCTAGTCTATTGCCTTTCTATTATACCACCTAAAGAGACAGTCAGAAGTGGAGTTCGCATAGGCTGAACACACATGCCACCATTACAAATTGGTTCCCTCAGTGATTTTTATTGAACTAAAGCTCAGCCAGTTACTCCCAACCCCTTCATAGGATTATAGTTCTCCCCACATAACAGCTAAATAATGCTCATATCTTGATTCAACTTTTGTTCTTGGTTTTACATGTCATGTTCTATATTCCTGGTTCAACTTTCCAATTCACGAGTCCAGGTCTTCTGGAGATTTCTCTGCCAATGGAAAAAAGCAAGGGAAAAATGTAAGAAACTAAGTTTAAAAAGTCAGAGGACCAAATACTTCACACAACAGACTAGCTTAGTTCACTGACCAAATTGTGGCTTTAATTGAAATACACAGCTAACAGGACTGGTTATATTATTATTATTATTATTATTATTATTATTATTATTATTATTATTATTATTATTATTATTATTATTATTATTATT